TTTAGTAAAATATTTAATCTATTAGCATAACCCAAGAAACACCACGATGAAGTTAGCTGACAAGTTTCTCAAAAATGTTGTTTTTTAGTTTTTTCATATTTTGAAAATCATTCAACTTTTATTTATTAATTATTTTTTGAATTATWTTATATTACCTATATTATATTTATTATCTATTAAAAAAATTATTAAAAACATTTAGAGCAACAGAATATTAAGGATTTGATGTTAGGTCTTCAGATAAAGTATAATTTAAATAGTTTTGGGTTATAGGCTTATACATTTGTTGTTGGTACTTTTCTTATTATAATAAATTGTTAAGAAAACTCGCTATGAGCATGCATTATTATAATGCAAATAAACTATATAATTCCATACTATACATTTTAAAAATAACTATTTAATATTTGGTATGTTTATTATTTAATAGTTATCTTTATTAAATACATACTCATATATTTATAATTTGAATTTTTCAATACTGGATAGTATAAATTTACATTGAATTAAACCACGGCTACAAAATCTTAATACAAACAACCGTAACTAACTAACAAGCTGGAAAAGGTGATATAAGGTTATACGGGAAATAAAATATTCTAAACTTACGTTTGGATGTTTAGAAACTAAAAGATTACAGACTCTTGCTGTCCGAAAAATACCACCAAAATATTAAGGCCACCATTAAAAGGAAAAAAAAATCGAATTTGGAATTTGGAATTTATAATAGTTTATTGCTTTGTATTGAAATACGTTTGGAAACCGGAAATCCAGCACGCTCGCAGAGTTTACACTTCCTAAGTCCTGAATCGTTTAAATTAGCGATTATTATTATTATTATTATTATTGTATGATTCCATTATTGTACTTTACATTAAAAAAGAAACTGTAACTCCTGATGGCCTCGGTTCCAAAGATTTTATTTTCTTGAATRAACAAAGTTTGTTTAGCAAACCAATCAAAATCATAATAACAATTTTACATAATACATCGAACTCCTGTAGTCGAATCGTGTAATAATATTTTTTATCAAGCGGTTGCGGTGGTCCGTCCGACAAGACTGGCAGCACTGCGCCGCGCGCTCGCATCCCTTTTTCCTCGCGCTCTTCTCCAGCGACAACGGTGGCGGCGCAGCGGACGACTACACAACATAACTACAAGTGCCCGACGACGACGGCAGTTCCTGTCCACCTGTCGGCCACGACAAACGCCGGTGCACCGATAACGTCGTCGCAGCACGAAACCCGCACGATCGCACGTGGTCGACTGCGCACGCACACACCTGACACTCGTCGTACTTGAATTATTTATCATTATTGTTATTATACCGTTAACCGTCCGGTTGAATATCCTTAATATTGCAATAGTATAAATAATTACAACCGAGATACGGTGGACAGGCTGCACCTCGAGAGGCGATTTTTATCTCGGTCCCATAAATCGACAACATTTATAATATTTATATTATTGYAATTAAATCTAAACGATAACAATAATAATATCACAGTAAAATAATATATCACAGTCCCAGAATACACGTATCGCGTCCCGCGGGATAAACGCAATTCCAGCCGAGCCGAACTCGATATCATGCGGCGTCGTACCGCAGCAGCAGAAGCCGTCGTCKGTGCCGCGGCGGCCGTGTTCTTCGCGCTGATCGGCGCCGTTGACGCGGGCAGCTGCTTGGAAGCTAAGCTATGCTGTCCCGGCCGCGACTCGGCGTGCGTCGTCCAGAAGACACCCATCAACGCCATCATCGAGGATCCCACGGACAAGCCGTGCTACTGCGACCACGCGTGCCTCAAGCTCGGCGACTGTTGCACCGATTTCAAACCCGCTTGCGGAGGTCAGTGCCCGCGCAACTTGCGCGCATTATTACAATTTATTATTACGCTTATTGTTTTTTTTTGCTTCCGATTCGTGGGGTCAGACATACTACGGAAAAATACGTATTATTAAAAGAGAGTATACCTGACCCGAGCCACTCGATTTTCGCGGTCCATACCGGCCTATAAAAATATGATTAAGTTGTAATTTAGGCCCTACACCTCCTTTGTTTTAGGAGAGAAACAAATTGGTGTGTTTCAATATAAAAATGGTGATTTAAAAAAAAATTACAAAATTGTGGTTGTTTAAGTTTGCAGGTTATACTGTTACGGGCTACGTCTAATCCCGCTATCACAACTTTCTATATGGACTTGATCTATCTAACTCTGARCAGTTCGAAATTTATGCATTTTTAATCACCTATTACGATTTTTAACCATTCGAAATTTCGCAATAATCARCCAATAGGATAAGTTTGCAATTTTAACTTTAAAATCTTTTATGACCTTTAAAAATAAAATTTAGTCCTGCATATTATACCATATCGAAGCGTCATCCTCTGCTTTTAGATACTTACACATACACTACCTACATATTATTACCACTTGCTTATTTTCTTGGTCCATTTTTAAAAGGGAAAAAATTATTTTTGGTTTTTTTTACACAGTTTCATCTAATTTATCATCAMATTTGATTATACCGTTTTATTTTTTATGAAAATATACCTAGAGGTTTACTATATTTTTAATTTCTTAATCAAAAAAACAACAGCAGAACACATTCCTATAATATCAATAATATTTGTGTTGTTACGATAAGAATTTAAATTTTAAAGTTTAGATGAAAGGAGTACGTATACATAATATAGGGGATCACAAATTTCGTTCCATATTATTTTATTTCATTCAAATATTAATTTGAAAATCTAGAAACCATGCTATACAATTAAGTCAATGATTTTGTATTAAAGTATAAGATTATTATTTTGCGTTAAAAATATAAWTGTTTTGAAGTATAAAAAAATTTGTTTCATCTACACTACAATTTACTTGAAATGTAGATCAGTCGTGTAAACAACTTATTTCTTATACATTTTTTCATTTCTTTCTTATTTAAACAAAAATTATAGGCGTTACGGTTTA